AGAGACTCAGCAGGAAGTCAGGCAGGCCCAGGCTTGTATCTTCACTTGCTTTCTATGTGACAGTGCCACAGCCCAGCCAGTAGACCAATGGTTCTCAAACTATGGGTCGTGACCCTCTTTTTACAGGGGTTGCATCTCAGATATTTACATTATGATTCATAACAGTAGCAAAATCAGTTATGAAGTAGCAATGAAAATAATTTTATGGCTGGGTATCACCACAAATGAGGGACTATATTAAAAAGTCATAGCATTAGGAAGGCTGCAGTAGACAGAAAGCAGATCAGCTACTTAAACACACAAATGTAACATACACAGTTGTTAACTGGCTAAATAAAATAGTAAGAGGAACCTAAGGGTATCACGGGAGTAGCAATAGGAAGATGCAGTTGCCAACACCATGGTGGAGAAAACAAAGCTTAAGAGACCCATGGGTTGAAATTTAGACCCTGCCCCCACCCCGAGAAAGGAGCATTCCTAAGCCTGCTGGTCCCACAGTCTCCCTCAGGACCACTTATTCACATAGCCTGACAGGGAGCCAGATAGAAGAGAAGTGTGCTCTGCAGAGTCCCAGCACCAGCAGCATAAAGCAGCCCTAACCTGAGAGACAATAACAGAACAGCACAGGAATCCTGCAAAAGAAACTCAACCTTCCTAGGTCTTAGTTTTTCTGGTCTGTGACATGGGTGTGAAAATGGATGGAAAATTCACATGATTATTGAGAGCATTACATAACCAAACTATGCAAAAATTCAATGGCTATTCAGTAAAAGTTAATTTTCCTGCTCTTTCCAAAAATTAGAACAAGTAAAACCTAAAAACAATGTGAGAATTAATCAGTATATGTGGCCCTAGGGCATGCCTAGATTTTCTCATATTTTTGTAAATTAGTCATATTACATAGTGTATTTGTCTTAATTAGTGTTTAATTTCTCCTTTTACAAACTAGCCTACCCTCTCTTTCTTCCTTTTGGCCTTTGTTCTTCCATTCTCCTGAGCGTTCTCTCTTTCTCTCTCTCTCTATTTCTCTCTCTCTCTCTCTCTCTCTCTATTTCTCTATCTCTTTCTCTTTCTCTATCTCTCTCTCTCTCTCTCTCTCACACACACACACACACACACACACACAGAGTTACAACATTCTTTGTAATAAATGCAACAAAAACACAGCTGGTACCCAGCCAAACCATGGTGAATCCAAGGAATCCAAAACCAGGAAGCAGAGTCCTCTCACACTGCTCAGAGCTTCCATTTTCAAACTCCAAGAACAGACATTTTTCCCCAGTTTTATGGGTAAATTGAAATTGGGCTAAAGGCAACAGAAGAGTGACTCACCTTCAAAATCTGGAGAAACTAAAGTTAGAGAAAACATGATGTCCGTAAAGCAGAAAGGGATGCTGCAAAGGATAAGGCCAGAGAAAACCATCCTCACAGTTAGTGGTCTGAGGAAAACTTCAGTGCAAAGATATCAGGATCCAGTCTGAACTTGATGAAGAAACACTAAAATATGCCTGACTGTCTACTTCCATGAGCCTAGCCATGATGATCATAGATTCACCCTCTGAAACTGCAAGCAAGTTCCCAACTAAGTGCCTTCTTCTATTAAAAATAAAAAGCACTGAAATAATAAACAGAAGTCTCAAGCCTAGAACTCTCTTTCAAGATACCTAGCTGAATGAAAGGCCAATAGTGTTTCACTTCAGCTCTTATGGGGTATTCCTGCCACAGACCAACGCCAGAGAGTATGTCCCTTCTGCAGAGAGCAAAAGGTCAAGTCGGGGAAGGCCCCTCAGCTCAATGGAACTCCAGAGAGAGGTGCGCAGGGAATGGAGCAGAATCTGGGCTAGGGATTTCTATTCCTATCTCCTCTGCTTGGCCTTTTGGGGTAGAAAATAATGTATTTCTTGGGGGCTATTTTTTTTACTTCCAGAATACATTTTTCCTTTTATGAAAGTCAGTGGGAAAATACAGTTCCCTTTCCAGTGTTTTAAAAATTACTTTTCTGGAACGTATCTACTTAACTGACAATTTAATAACGAACTCTCAGTAAGATGACAGATGTTTAGATATACAATGGTAAAATGGAGTTTTTTCTTTGTTTTAGCAATTACTTTTATCATTTAAGAGAACCAAGTTTATTTCTATTGGCGCTCAGAGTGCTGAGGGATTTCATATTGAAGATCTGAGGTTTCCAGCAGGAAAACCCTCATAAATTTAAACACAAGAGAATCTCCAGTCTAGAATCAAAATCTGCTTAATGTCTCGAAAGCACCAGAAGCCTCGATTATAGTCAGAAAATTCAGACTTTAGTTAAATTTACAACAGAGGGCCGGGGGGGTCCTGAGGAGTTTAGAGTACATTTTGAAGCCCTGACTGTTCCTTTCCACATCCCAGCCATTTGAGACACCAGAATGTGACTGTTTTGTGACAAGCTGGGTGACAGGCAGTTTTCAAATATTTAAAACTTCCAGTTCTTTTCTTACTTTTTGAGGTTATGGATCTGTACATGGGAATGAGACCCACAAGAAATTCTGGCTAGTGACTCACAGGAGAAGTGGGTAGCCATGCTGTGTTATCTTTAACTGACTGAAATTGGCACGGGGATAAAGCATGAGCCGATCCTGCTAACAATCGACTGTTTCTTTCTCCCCTCAACCCCCTGCTCCACTGTCTGGAGTTTTGGGACAAAGAAAAGCATTTTATCTTTCAGGGGTGGGGGGGAGTTGATAGGAAAAAGTCAAACATTTAAATTTGAATTCTTCATGGAGTTACTCATGGGTTTTGGGTTTTTTTTTTAATTTCTGGCTTTGATTATTTTTCAAACATAGAGCTCTTTAGAACAGTAAAGTTTGTTGATTTTTAAAGAGTCCAGTGTTGTACTCTAAAAGTTTATTTATGCTCTTTGATATCATCAGGTTCATCACTGAAACACAGTATCAGATCGTCTGTGCACTCTGGATCATCTTAGTTCACAATATGAATTAGTTCTTGTGTCACTATACTTATGAGTAAGGAATTCCAAACAAAGCACACTTGGTATCACAAACAGGCTTGATAAAAAATATAAAGCAATTCAAGGAGTCCAGTATGGTGGTGCATCCCAGCACTGGGGAAGCTAAGGAAGATGGATTCTGTTCAAGGCCAGTCAATTTGGGGGTGACAGGTGGGAGTGTCCACTAGATGAATTGGAGTCATACAGAGTCAAGTTTGGATTCCTAGCACCCACATCAAACCTGGCAGGTAATTGCCATGCTCAAGAAGTGGAGATAAGAGATTCCTGAATGACCTGACTTTGTAAATAATGTGGGAGTTTATGGAGCAAGATACCCAACAATGTCAACTTCAGGTCATACCTATCTATAAACACATGTACTCATATACAGCCAACCATGTATGCACATATACATACCACACATAGTACATATGTTAAAAGGGAGAGAATAAAAGGAAGCAGGGAGGAGAGGGAAGACAGAAAGGTAGGAAGGCAAGAACACTAGAATGGTTTCAAAGCAGCAACTTCTACTCAAAACAGGTTCTGCATTGTCTGCATGGAGTTAGGGAACCCTATGGACAGAGTGCATGTTCTCTGCATCAGATATCCCAGTCTGAATTCCAGTCCTATTCCTTCTTAGAGAAGGAGAAACTAAAGGTGAATATTTGGTCCTTGTGTGAAAAACCATAGTTACACAAAACCATTGCTTGCTAACTTCTACAGGTACTGTAATGATTCAATAGGATGACACGCTAAGAAGACCAGACATCTTTTAGGTGCTCAGTAAACATCAACTACGTTTACTTTCCATGTCATCCTTGTATTTCTGGAAGTTACAGTCACCAAACACACTAAAAGTTATGATTGTATTTTTATGTCATGGTCTCTAATTCGTTTCTTCCTAGCTTCATTTACATTCTTCTATTCTTCTACTTTTTTGTTCTATCTCATCTTGAAATTTAATGTCTGTACAATAATTAATCAAGAACAAACTTCAACTCTTGCACTGTGCTAGTTCCTTATTCACTACCACTAAATGCCTGACAGAAATAATTTTAAGAAGGGATCATTTTGGCTCAGTCTCAGTGTGCAATCCACCACAGTGGCTGGTCACAGTGACTCTGTAGTCAGGAAACAGACAGCAGTGAATGCTGAGCCTCAGGCTGCTTTCTATCCATTCTAGGCCTCCTGCCCCAGGACGGTACCACCAACATTAGGATGGGTTGTCCCACATCAATTAAATTGACCTTAACCTAGCGATTCCCTCATAGACATGCTGGAGGCTGTTTCCATGTTGACTCTGGATCCCCTCAAGCTGACCAACCCTCATTCTCATGCTTGAGAACATACTAATACTTACTAGCTGCCAGAGAGCAGCACACTACAAGAGAGAAACTATCATTAAAAGATGGTAGCCATATTCTTCTAAGACCAATATCAAAGCAGAACGGGGGACAAAATGAGAAAAAAAATGAGCAATGTATTCCTTTGGTGAACAAGGTTCAGCCATCAGCAGGACGAGGGACAGGATAGCCTCTCTGCCTATTCAATTGCTGATTTTGTTTAACAGTTCAATCATTGATTCAAAATTGATGAGAGCACGTTCATCTATCATAAGAGGGAAAAGAAAAGTAGGTATAAAATAGAATAGGCTGACAGTGGTTCAGAGTAGTTCTTACAGTTCTGTGTCAACTAGGAAAGAAAAGAATCAGTCCATGTATTCAAAGACTCTCCTGGAGTTTCAAGTTGAAATTTAGAGAAGCTGTCACCGCTGAGCCTGGGGACAGTGTGCACAAATTCCTTCTCTTTGTCAACAGTGCGCAAAATCAATACTTTTATCTAACTTTCAGGAGAAGGTTAGAGAAGTTTCCTCAGCCTGCCCTGGCTCCCCAGGAGTGGACAGAGGGACTTATCCATGCTCATCCTGATGGGCAGGGTTTCTCTGCTGGCTGGCTGCTTCCACTAGATGTCTCCTGCCCTGGGCTCCCCAGGAGTAGACAGAGAGGCTTACCCATGCTCATCCTGATGGGCAGGTTTTCTCTGCTGGCTGCCTCCACTAGATGTCTCCGAACTTCCATCACCGCCTCTTTGTGCTTGGTGTTCAGTAAGGCTTCCCAGAGGGCCTTGGCTGAGGTGTCACTACAGTGAAAGCACAAAACAGCTTAGAATAAATTCCTATTGGGAAATGGGAAGGACTGGAGGAAAAGAAAAACGCCCGCATTGTAAGCACTAATGTAGTCATTCCCACTGGTATTAACTCAATACAGGACGTGTAATTCATTTAATAGGCAGAATATTGAGGAATTAAGGGGACAACAAAACCAAGACCTAGGGAGAAGAAAAGCTACATTGTTCCATGAAAATATGAGAAAATTACATACTAGATATTTTTTAAAGATTTTTTTCACTTGAAAGTGGTTCACAGTGCAATTTTAGCTAAACAAACATGAATGTCATATAAGCCAAAATTAAATGCAAAGCTAAAAATGACTTATCAGTAGTTACAAGCACTGTGTCAACTTGAGATAGCATACTGTCTGAGAAGCACAGAGAAATCCTTAATGGGGTTTCTTCTTTGGATTCTCAATAGACTTCCTAATTGGCAGAGTTCCTATTGAATAAGAATGAGGGCTTGCATTCAGTAGCAGGCCCTGAAGTATCCCACTCCAGGCCTTTGGTTGGAAGGATGGTACTTATGGAAGCCTTCACAATTATCTGTTGATAGCAGCCCCAAAGCCCTGCATTATGCAGGGTATCATCTGGGTTCACTTCCCAGTAGCTCTCTGTCTCATCCGCCATGCTGTGTCCTCATTATAAATGAACACAGTGTTCTATCCGGAAGGCCACTGCCACAAAGCCAAGTATACACATTTGTAGTAACGTCTTCAAGCCTCCATATAAAGGAAACAAGGATGGCTTCTGTCCTTTCTCCACTTAAAGCCCCACTAACTCAGACACTAACCTCTCAGTAGAGTAGGAACTCTTATTATCACAACTTTTCCATAGTGAAGTAGCATCTTTAAACACTCAAAACTATAATTCTTCTTATGGTTATCTTGGCTACAGTTTGGTGGACTGAATGATACATAGAAATGCAGGAAAGCACATTTCTCATTATCTGTGAGGATGTTTCCAGAGGGTCAGTGAACTGAGCAGGGAAGACTTGACCTCAACGTGGGCTATAATGTCCAATATTTTGAGCTCTGGGAACTAGAAATGGAAGGAACAGGGGACATTGTGAGCCTGGACTTGACTCTTTTTTTTTTAACTTTTTTTATTACTTTAATTTTCAATAGCTTGTTTCACATGTCAATCCCAGTTCCCTCTCCCTCCCCTCCTCCCACGCCCCCCACTGTCCCCCCCAGCTTCCCACCCTATCCCCACTTCCTTCCACATAGGGGATATCCAGAGTCTGTCATTACGCTCAGGGCACGGTCCAGGCACTCCCTTAAGAGTCCAGGCTGAGAGAGTATCCCTCTTTGTGTTATGGACACATGAAGTCTATTTGTATGCCAGGGATAAACACTGATCTAGGCCTCCTCACTGACTCTCACACTCAGGGGGTCTGGATCAGTCCCATGCTGGCCTCCCAGATATCGGTCTGGGGTCCAAGAGCTCTCCCCCTTGTTCAGATCAGCTGTCTCTGCTGGTTTTGCCAGCCCATTCTTTGCCAATTTGCTCGTCGCTCCTCTCTCTCTGTCACTGGGTTCCATGGGTTCAGTTCAGGAATGGGCATTTAAGGTGGTCTCTCTACTATTGCTTAGCTTGCCAGTTGGTGTCATCCCTTTAGATCACTAGAGGTCTCAGTGGTGCCAGATCTCTCTTCTAATCTATGATTCCCTCTATTATGGTATTTCTCATCCTGTTCTCCCCCTATTCTAACCCCCACTCAACCTTCCTGTTTCCCTATGATCTGCTCTATCTTCTTCTTCTCCCCCTCTCTTCTTCCCAGCTCCCACTCCCCCCACACACACCTCTCGCTGTGCTCCCAATCTGTTCAGGAGATCTTGCCTCATTCCTCTTCTCTGGAGTACCATGCATATCTCTATTAGGTTCTTTTCTGTTTCCCAGACTCTCTGTCAATGGAAGTGCAGACTGGCACTATCCTGATCCATGTCTAAAATCCATATATGAGTGAGTACACACCATGTTTGTCTTTTTGTGACTGGGTTACCTCACTAGCGATGGTTTCTTCTAGTGCCATCCATTTATCTGCAAATTTCAAGATTCCATTGTTTTTTTTCCTGCTGAGTAGTACTCCAATAAAATGTTTTCCTTTTTAATAGTTGCCATAGTTATAGTGCCTCTTCACAGCAATAGACAGAAGTTGGTACCAGAGACTAGGTATTGCTGTGCTAGGCCAGACCACATTTTTGTTTGGAGTAATATGGAATTTGGTACTTTGGAATAGGAAAGCAGTAGAATGCTTTAAGTACTGCTTAATGGGTCATACTAGTAGGATCATGGAAGACAGTGGTGCTGAATATGATTTGAGCTCAAGAGGTTTCAGAGAAGAAGAGTATTAGCATGTGACCCAGAGATCAGTCATGTGATATTTTGAAGAATGAGACACCTTTTTGCCGTTATCCTAAAAGTCTGCATGAGGATAAAGTGAAGAGTTCTGAATTAATTCCATTGGCAGAGAAAAATCTTTTATTATTATTATTATTATTATTATTTTAATTTTAAATATCTTCTTTTACATGTCAATCCCAGTTCCCTCTCCCTCCCCTCCTCCCACACTCCTCCACCATGCCCCCCCCAGCCTCCCACCCTATCGCCATTTCCTTCCACATAGAGGATATGTAGAATCTGTCATTTCACTCAGGGCAGGGTCCAGGCATTCCCCTAAGAGTCCAGGCTGAGAGAGTATCCCTGTTTGTGTTATGGACACACGATGTCTGTTTGTATGCCAGGGATAAACATTGATCCACTGCCCAGGGCCCCATAGGTTGCCCAGGCCTCCTCACTGACTCTCACATTCAGGGGGTCTCGATCAGTCCCATGCTGGCCTCCCAGCTGTTGGTCTGGAGTCCAAGAGCTCTCCCCTGTTCAGATCAGCTGTCTCTGCTGGTTTTGCCAGCCCATTCTTTGCCAATTTGCTCATTGCTCCTCTCTCTGTGTCACTGGGTTCCTTGGGTTCAGTTCAGTGTTTAACTGTGGGTGTTTGCCTCTGCTTCCATCAGTCACTGGATGAAGGCTCCCGGATGGTTATAGACATCAAGTGGCAGAGAAAACCTTAAAACAGCCTCGTACTGACTCTATTACATGGTTATTAGTGTTCACTCTAGTGAATATATATAATGAGGATAAAGCTGAGCAAATAAAAATACAAAATGTACAATTTGAGGAGAAAAGGAGTACCAGGAAGTGGAATGAAGCAAAGTCCTGTGTTCAAGAAGATAAACAGATCAAGAAATGTAATAAAGGGAGTGGTGACCACAGGCAAGATCCCACCCAGGTTAAGTTTTCAACTTGTGAGAAGGAATTTAAAAAAACTTAAGAGACAGGTGTGGTAGTACATGCCTTTAATCCCAGCACTCCAGAAACAGAGGCAGGCAGTTCTCTTGAGTTTGAGGTCAGTCTGGTCTACAGAGTAAATTCCAGGACAGTCAAGCATAGGCAGTGAAGAAAACTATTAAAAACAGAAAGTGTAATTGAACAAGGGGGCCATGTTCCAGTCCCAGCAAGTAGTAGAACTTGGCAACTTGGGCTACGTGGTCTCTGGTTTTAGAGTCAAGGATAGAAGAAAGAAGTTATGAATCTCCCTCCACGACTAAAGCCAGGCATGTGTCAGAAGTATCCTGAATGGAGGTCTAGAGAGGTCATTGAGTGAAGCTGTGAAGGTAAATCCTGGAGTTGTCAGAATTGTGGGATACTTGCCGAGGAAAACTCCTAACAGGGAGTGCAACCAGACCAAGAGAAACAAGTATGCTGTAGTTAACAAAGCTGAAAGTAACTGGAAATCTGAAGAGCATTTTCATCAGATATGGAGATACAGAGTTTGGTATTTGCCCAGCGGTTTTCAGTCTTGCTTTGGACCTTCCTTACTATACTCCCTTCCCTAAGTTTTGAAAAGGTAGTGTATATCCTGTGTCATTATATGTTGGAAGTATGTGATCTGCTTTTTTATTTTGATTTTACAGTGGACTACAGTTAAGAGATTGCCTGAATCTCACAAGAGACTTTGAACTTTTAAACATTGTTGAGACTGGGACAGTCTATGGAGACTTTTGAAGTTGGACTAAATGCATTTTTCATTATGACACTGTTACAAGCTTATGGGGGCCAGGGAGTGGAATGTAGTAATTTGAATGTTATTGGTCCCCATAAGCTCATAGGGAGTGGCATTCCTAGGAGGTGTGGTTTTCTTGAAGGAAGTGTGTCACTCTGGGGGTTGGTTTTGAGGTCTCCTACGCTCTAGCTATGCCCAATTAACTTCCTGTTGCTTGTGTATCAAGGTGTAGAACTCTCAGCTCCTCCTCTAACACCATGTCTGCTTGCACACCACCATGTCCCACCATTATGATAATCAACTAAACCTCTGAACTGTAAGTCACCCCATTTAAACATTTTCCTTTATAAGAGCTGTCATGGTCATGGCGTTTCTTCATAGGAATCGAACCCCTAAATAAGACAGTGGCCACTAGCAAGAGTCTTTAACAATTATAGCTGCTTTCTCTGCACTTTCTTAAGAACTTTAAACTCATGCAAGTTCCTTTCATCAACAAGCTGCACAGTTGTTGTCTCTTGCTGTAGAACTAAGAACAGTCAACAGTAACCATGATATGACCTGGACATTAGGTTATCCTAAAAGATCCTCCCCAAAACTCATGTGTTCATTAATTTTTAACTCAACCTCACTCGGATTTTTCAGGAAGAAAACAGAATATTGCCAGAAAGTAACACATGATCTCTAGCGTAGTGCTCAACAGAGTTGAGGCACATTCTCATAGCATTTGAGATCTACTACAATCTCAAATAAAGCACATTGCTAGTAGGCATTATTTACACCTAATCTAAGCCCTTTGTGTCCTTTTGAAACCTACTTGATCTTGCTCAGTCTTTTTTTTTTAAGGACAGGAATGGCTGATCAACATCTTTTTAATAACTCTATCCTGAAACAGCTCTTACCCCTA